CACGAATATTTGAGAGAAGATTCAGCTCATTGTACATCTACATTGTAAATCATGGAGCCTGCGGCGAATCTGTAATCATCTGTTCAGAACTTTCATAAATCTTCGATTCTCTTCCGAATGTTCATGATATATGATCTCAGTAAAGTGGCATCGGTTTCCTCTGCGAGTGATTGTCTTTGAGGCAGAAGGTACATATTTCAAAATTCCATTTCTAACCCTCTCTTGTCTTTTAGAAACGGGGTATACGATAACAAATCTCTAAAATTATTGTTGTGAATATTGTTGTGAACACTTAATGGTCAAAAATCTATTAAAACACAGGATCAATATAACAAATTTTTTTAAAATAACCTACATATCCAAGATTACAATGGTATGTATATTTTCGTTTAGGTATTTCAACTAAGTGATGTCCCTCAGCATTTCGAAGTTAGGCTTCGGGAAGTAAATGTCGATTGGTCTATATGAGAAAGAAAAGGAAATATGTGCAACGGTCACATTTTGCTTAGAATACCTTTTCGTATCTGTTACCCTTTCATACATCTGAATAAAAAATAATCCTACTAATATTATAAATGAGAAAGTTTGGATGTTTGTGACAAGTGAACGCGAAAAATACTGGTCGGATTGGGCTGAAATTTGGCATGATGGTAGCTCACATGCCCGATTAACATATAGGCATATTCTTATTTCAAAAATCCTTTCGGGCTCCGCCCCAATGGCTCTGGAGTTTCCCATGTTAACCTTATGAGAAATGGAATTATTGAATCTTAACAGCTGTTTCAATTAAACAAGTTGGTTCTGTTCTATGATGTTCAATTGCATTAAAGTTACAATGATTACCAACAGGGTGCAGCACTATTATTTCTTTTACATTTATGACAACAGCTAATTTGCAACCAAAAGGTGAGTGAGCGTAGCGAACAAGCTTCAATTTGGAGGCGAGTGAGCGTAGCGAACAAACTTCAACCAGGACGTGATTGAGCCATGCGAACAAGGTTATCTTGAAAATTAAGAAGTTAAACGGGACAAAGCCCGCGGGTTACAGCTAGTATATTATAACTAACGAACTAAAGATTGCCGTTTCGTTCCTGGGAAAAGTCAGTAGGTAGCTTTTTGATTGGTCAAAACTGGACCCAGCTGTTCCTGACCATTTTATAGTTTGTGTATTCATTGCCATTGGGCTTTAAATAAATGATCCTGACTAATGAAACAGCTGATCTTGGTCAGTAACAAAGCTACACAGATCATCTCACAATCTACACTCATCCTTTAATCATATTTAGGTTAAAATTCGCACCTAGGTGGCGTCCCCATCTCAATTGATAATAATATTAACAAATTATCTGCATTTTGATTTAATTAGATTATTTCATTGTGCAATAGAACTACTGTCGTTGTCTAAGAACAGAATAGAAGTGTTCAATGTTATTTCATATGAATAAATACTGTACAACTGCCATGTAGAGTATTTACTCATTCCTGAAAAGAAAGAGTTTGTTTTGAAATAAGCTTAAAATGTAGTTTAAAACCATCTAAAAGAGTATTTGATTGCACTTTTACCAGCTAATATAGTATGAATCGCAAACATTTCACTATCCTCACTTACGGAGAAGACCAGACTGAAAACAAGTTTATGTTCCACGCATGAGTACCGTGTTAAAGTCTAAACGCAGAACATTCTCATTTACTCCTAATAGCACTGTACTAAATTGTATGTAATACAGTCCTTATGCTTATTAGAAAATATCTACTCTCTAAAGAAATGGCGTGGGATGTAAGTTGTAGTGTTTAAACAACGTTGAGTCGTTGACATCTTGTGTTGATGAATCACACTTTTACTTAACAGAACCAGCAAAATGTCTGTAAACTGTGGAACTGTCTTTGCAATGATTGGTGTACACGAAATGACTCGTGCACGAATTGCACTTTTTTATAAGATTCAAAACTTGTTCCCGCAATACACTTTAACTTTTCAAAGATTTTGTTAGCTTAAGACAATGATTAGGTGAAAACATGTTATTAACTAAACATGTTATTAATTTACAATAAAATAAATTTGTAAGGGTTTACACCTACACCATTAAGAGTGATTTACCTTCTTCAATTCGGTTACAAAATCAATCTACAATCTTACAATCTATTGTCATGTTTGCCCTTGATATAATCTGATTGTGGTTAAACACTCAACTGAAATTTCAGTTGTAAGAAAAGTTTGTCAGCATCATGGAATATTTGAAAGTGATGTATAGAAATAATCAAACGCTAGGGGGCGAAGCCCTACCATTTATATTGGTCACTCAGTTACATCATTAGCTTTAAAATTACACTTCAATCGTAAAAATTGGTTAAAAGGAACAGCTGGAAAAGGGATGTTACAGAGGAACCCCTTTATCTATTAAGTTTATAGATCGATAGATGTATAGGTGTTTGAAAATAATAGACACTAGTGTACCTGTTGCTCGAATTCGAGCAATTGCGAAGCATTACAGGCGACTCAACGATTATGGAAATACTCACGATCTAAACAACAGTTAGATATAATCAAAATCTTTTGTAAATATCTTATATTTTTTCAAAAAGCTGATCTTGTTTTGTTAGTGTTTCCATTGTTTGCAAATCGGTTATTTCAATGATTGCTCAAGAAATGTAGCACAGTGTTCAGTTCAGTTTTATTCAGTTTTATTTTTAGCCTATATCAAATTGTCCAGGATTCCTCGCTCTTTTCCATTGTAATAATTACACCAACCCAAGTTTCGTCTACAGATGTAATATACCAAAGAATATCACCTACGTACAATCTCCAAGAAGTGGTAAAAAAGGCAGAAACCAACCCATACAATAGATATAAGTTAACTCCATAAAAAATAATTTTAAAGGTTACTGTGATATTAGGATTTTCCACTGATTTGGCAACAGAACATTATATTGCAAAACATGACACGATGCAGAAGAAAATCAATTTTAAAATCAGAAAAATCCATTGCAAATAGGCCACTCTACTTCATTTTGACAAATTCAATAAATCACAATTTAAATATTAACAGCTGTTGCATTAAAAAGTAGTGTAGAATTATGCATATGGTCGTAATGTAAACAAATCTGAAGAGGCAACTTTAAAGGCTTCAGGGGCAGAGCCCCAAGGGAGTTTACCTCTTTCCTCTTTTGATGGCTCATCTACAGACCAAGACATTTCTTTAGAGACCCCTACCAAGTTTCTACGCCCAGCCGTTCTCTCAAATTAGCTGTGACAAAAACCCCGTTTTCCTCCATAAGAATAACATGGGATGAGAATTTAAAGGCCACGGGGGCAGAGCCCCAAGGGAATTCACCATGTTTCTATTTTGATGGCTCATCTACAAACCAACCCCTTTCTTTAGACACCTCTACCGAGTTTCTACGCTCAGGCGTTCTCTCAAAATAGCTGTGACAAAGAAAAACAGTTTCAAATTAATATATAGATTAGTTGTAATTGTTAAGTTATTTATTGGAAAAATTTACTAATTATAGCTAAAACCATGAAACATATGGACAAATGCTTCATTTTGTTAAATAAATCCAACAGGAGTTCTAAAAGACCCCTTCAGTACTTGTTCACTTTTTCCTTTTGATAACAAATTAAGTAGTCCAAAACTCAACACGATGGACCACCTATTAACTGAATATCAACAACAATTCTATCACGATTCCACGGTGCGGAAACCCTCTGCTATTCGCACGGAGTAATGCAGTCGTAATTGGATTTTACCTGATCTCAGCACAGCACCTACCAGTGGAAAGGTCAAGTATAAAACTGCCATATCTTACTGAACGTACATGGAGTCTGTAGACGATTCTCTAATGATTCCGCGAACGAGTCGTGTTATCGTAGAGAAGACACTCGATGGGTATGGCGACGTCACGACGGCTCCGATCTATTATTCAGAAGACATCGGAGGCTGAGGGTAGAGTACAGTCCTACTTACAGGTAAGGACTGACGGATTTATGTAGTATTGTTGCGGTGAAGACGGTGTCATCGCGGGGGTTCTGGTGAATCTGGGGAAAGGTCGACGGGTTAAGGAGGGTTCTCTGAAGCTATGGTTCTGTAGGATTAGATTAGGTTCAATTGATGCAACTTGTGTGATATTGATTTGGATTATGAAGTAGATACTGTACCACATTGAGCAACCGAAGCCAATTTAGTATTCAAATAGAGACTTAAATGAGCCATGGTGGCGCTACTGTGGAGATTCTATTTTCTACCTCAAATTTGATACTTTGAAAGCCTAGTTGGGGTTGGATATTAAATATACTTTACAATGGCGTGTTTTGCAGACATCTGTAATGGTCAACCTCACACTCCTAGCACCTCAGGGTATGATAAAATGAATGTTACTGTTCCGTTTGAATATAAAATTAAAAAATTACGCTATTATTATAAGTTATTAATTTTATCAAATGTAACTCGTAGAGAAATAAAAGCTGTTTCAACGTAACCTTATTCTGAGAGATATTATCTTTTACCATTCGTAAAACGAGTATATATCTTTATGTCGCTATTTTCTGAAGATACCACACTGCGCGTTGTAAACTTTGAACTCCCGTCGTATAAAAGAGTACATTTTAATTAACACTCCACTCACGAATCGAACCCGCTCCCGGCACCCGATGGGAAGCGACTGTATAATGGTCATCCCAATCATTACTGTTGGCCTAAAATCTAAAATTGTTTATGGCTCCTTGTTTCGTCCAGAGCCCTGGTCGTGGCTGGGGGTCAAGTACTGACCTCCAGATCATGCTTATATCCTGGAGATGATCAGTACAGCCTCTCAACACGCAACCAATAGTCCATCTCTTCGTCGATGAAGGAGAGCTCTGAGGTGCTGGTCATGTTGGATAGGTTTCGTCCAGAGCCCAGGTAGAGGCTGGAGGTCAAGTACTGACCTCTAGATCATGCTTATATCCTGGAGATGATCAGTACAGCCTCTCAACACGCAACCAATAGTCCATCTCTTCGTCGATGAAGGAGAGCTCTGAGGTGCTGGTCATGTTGGATAGGTTTCGTCCAGAGCCCAGGTAGAGGCTGGAGGTCAAGTACTGACCTCTAGATCATGCTTATATCCTGGAGATGATCAGTACAGCCTCTCAACACGCAACCAATAGTCCATCTCTTCGTCGATGAAGGAGAGCTCTGAGGTGCTGGTTATGTTGGATAGGTTTGGGCTATCGTAGCTATTGACTGGTAGCATCCTAATGATTCGGAAATCACAACCGGGGATTATCAGGAATGAGCCATTTGGTAAGACTTTTAAGGCAAACTACATTATCATTATCTCCATTGTGATACTGAAGCGTGACGAATTTATTTCCCAAACTTCTTCTAAGTTAAAATAGGTATTATGTTTCGCAAACTCACAATTCCTTTCGTCATACACAATTAGTTGTAGATTCATGAGAAGCTGAAAACAAAAAAAATACTGGTATGGATCATAAACATAAACGAATGACGTTGTTGGCCCGAATCCTAATACTAATAGCATTGAACATATGTTTTGGCAGTTCCATTTAAGCAATGTTAAATAATGTTTATTTTCGGGCCAAAAATGTCATTTGTTTATGTTTATGATCCATACCGGTATTTTTCTAGTATTCACGCTGAAAACCATAGGATCTTTTTATCATTCAGCTGCATAAATAATTTGCGGTAGTTGAAAACAACGGCCTTTGAAATCAATATCGTCGTTCAAAATCTAAAATCCCTATTTAGGGATAAGTATCGTGGACTCTGAAAAAATTAAACGTCACATCAACATACTAATCATCAGTATCTATAAAAAAGATTCGGCAATTCATCCATTTTTATAGCTATCGAATCATATATTCTATCTTAAACAGCCTATTCATAGAGGCCATGATTTTCCCCATAGAAGGAGGTTTGAGTTACAGGGAAAGCTCGGTCAGTTGCCGTGATCATAGCTAAGGTGGAAGGTTGGGGATGAGTCACACCACTTAACCACGTGTTTATTTAAATTACACCCTTCAAGAGCTAGAAAACACGCTAATCCGTCTCACCCAGGGATCGCAACAAAAGACATTCTTTGTACAACACATGCTGTCTATTGTAGAGCGACGTGCGGTATTGTTGACAAAGGTCAGGTTGGTGAAAACATAGAAATGTGAGATGTAACAATGTAGGGAGAAGAATCCACCAGGCTTTCTTGTCAAACATCAATTGGTCAATTGGTTTTGTTAGTTTTATGAATTTAATGAAATGTCTATTGAATGCCAAGACACATTCTTTATCACAAAGTACAACTTTCATTAATGCAATCAACCATCGTCAGAGTGTGCTCAGCCTTGAGTCGTACTATTAATTTGGTATAAAAAGTGTAAGCGTTTTAGAAAGTGAAAGGAGGAAATCATTTCAGTTCCACAATTTCTTTGGGGCAGTGAATTTAATTCGAACAAAACACCTACACCTAGCTCATCTTCCTAGACAGAAACTCGTTAGTAAGAGCACGTGTTTAAACACTGTAAGAATACAGGTATAAAAAATAATACCATAATAATAAATATAATAATAATAATAAATAATTTAAAAACTTTATTTTAGAATTTACTAGCTGTACCCACGGGCTTTGCCCCGTTTAACTTCACAAGTGAGATCGTTCACATGGCTCAATCACGTCCTGGTTGAAGTTCGTTCGCTACACTCACTCACCTTTAGGTTGGAGCTCGTTCGCTCCGCTCACTTGCCTTCAGGTTAGCTCATTCACTACGCTAACTCGCTTCCAGGTTGAAGTTCGTTCGCTACGCTCACTCACCTTTTGTTTGCAAATTGGCTGTAGGGGTCGCCGGAAGACTGTCCCCCGGAAAACTACCCCCCCAAGCAGGTTCCTACGTCATATTGACGTCAGAGACCGGGGGGGGGGGCAGTTTTCCAGTCACGGACACTCAAATTTAGTTGTCAAACAGTTCTAATCTAACCTAACCTAACCAACCAAACTTGCTGTAACATTTCGAAAATCTGTTTTATATTCACAACATGCCTTTTCTATTATCCAACGGAATTACTCGAATTAAAATTACAATTACATAGCATGATGTGTCAAGGGGGGGGGGGTAGTATTCCAGTCGCGGACACGGCTTCCATATTGGTTAGTTAGCAGATTTTGTGACGTCACGTTTCACCTGGGGGGGGGGGGTAGTTTTCCGGGGGATAGTATTCCGCATCCCCGGCTGTAGTAATAGTGCTGCACCCTGTTGGTAATCCTTGTAACTTTAATGCTATTGAACATCATAGAACAGAACCAACTTGTTTAATTGGAACAGCTGATAAGATTCATTAATTTCATTTAAATATGAAAAATCATAAGGTTAACATGGGAAACTCCAGAGCCACTGGGGCGGAGCCCGAAAGCCCGATCAGAATAAAAACTACTTAGTTTTCCTATTTAATGCCCAAAGAATCGGTGTACCGAATTTCAGCCTCCTAGGTAAATGGGAAGTGGGAGAATTAGTGATGAGTGAGTGAGTGAGTTAGTGAGTGAGTGAGTGAGTGAGTGAGTGAGTGAGTGAGTGAGTCAGTCAGTGAGGGCTTTGCCTTTTATATATTTAGATTATTTTGATTTTAAAATTTTTTCTCTGTTTCAGACATTCTCTTGCCTCCTTCTGGCTGAGGTGATGGTTTGCCATGGATTTTGGTATTTCTCCAGCAGTCCGTCGAATACCGCAAAGAAAATGTGAGTACTTGAACTTGAACTTCAAATTCATCCTAACTATTGCGATCTGTCGGAAGTCAAATAGAATATTTACAACCTCAAACAATTCCACAACGAACCTACTTGCACCTATCTAACTGATGCAAATATAAACACAACAACACATGAAGGCGAAAGTCCCATGTAGTTTCCACTATCGTTTTGCACTCATCGAATATCGAGGAAGTTTACAGCTGTTGTTGATACTAAACTAACCAGAGTGTCTCCACTCTCCGGGTATTAGTAGTCGATAGACTCCAGAAACACGACGACTTTCCCCGCGATACTATCAGCAACGCCTCTGAGGCAGCCACTGCTGAGCAGATGCTGAAGTCTTGACCAGGGTCAGCATAGATACCGCAGGACAACTGTATGTCCTCAATAGACCAATGACCTTAGATGTCCTGTGTCGGAGACATCTACTTTAACTGCCTCCAGGATTGCACCGCTGACCCTTCTTGTCTTCAGCTACATTATCCTGAGTACCCCAAGAAACGATTGTGCATTCGTATTTATTTTGTGAGATTTGAATGAATAACGGATGCGGTCGAGGTTAAGCATATCCAGAGGAGGTAATTTTATGCGGATTGTTTTGTGAAATTCTCTCCATGGAGGAGCATATAATAGTGGTTGAGTTCAGTTCAATTCGCGTCCCTTGTAAATTAAATTAATAATTGTTGTTAATTAATATGCACTTTAATAGATCGTGGGATGGAGTCTACGAATTGGTGATTATGTGGAAAATAAAAGTCTAATGTTGTTTATTGTCGAATACCAAAGAGTTTTCCTTTCTTCTATCAGTCCCAAGAAAATTATCTACACTTCTTTAATTGGTGTAGTGATTATTTATGTATTTAATACAATTTTGATATCATATCCACTCAATCTCCTCTAAAAAGACTTTCATTGAGTATAAAAATGGATGTATAAGGTGTATACATTGGTTTGTTTTTCGAAATTTCACAAAAACAGTTGCTGATGTTTTCTCTTTCAACTACTGTATTCTATCTGTAAATTACACCCAATGATATTTTCTTGTTCATTTATCTTAATGACCATAATCCATGGCTAATGAAAATAAAATAAGCTCCTGCTCGTATGTCAGGCAGATATTTCCTGAGTGTGTACAAATTTAGAGATTCGTTCATTACTTGTTTAGAGCAAGAGTTCTCAATAATTGGTGGCCTAGTTCAGTGATTGTCCAAATTTAGGGTCTTTGGATTCTTTGGAACAGATAATCATATCAGTTCAAGTTTTGATTGGACCCAATGTACCTTCTTCCAATACATAGGAAAGTGTGTAGTAGTCATTGCTGCTATCGCTGAGCATTATACAGTTTTCACGGAGGGTTAGGCGCAAATCGCACGACTTCTGGTGTGTAATTTCCGCGAATCACATGGTAATGAATTCCTCCCAGTCGCTTCCCAAACTGAAATCTGTTCATAAACTCACACCCGATTTGCAATTTACACCCAAGATTGAAGTGATTTTACCAGGAAAAGGGTTAAAGAATGTTCTCCAAATTATTAAAGTGATCCCAAATTAATGATTGAGGGGTATTAAAATGGGTCACGATAAAGATGTTCCCTACCAAATCAGCCATTCTAGATCATAATACACCAATGACACTATTGGGAGGCTTTTTTAAGTGATAGAGCGTAGGATTTTGTTCTCGAGGTCCTAAGTTCAAATCCTAGCTATCACTAATGGCTATATGACCTTCTGGGCGGGCTTTAATTGCGCCAACTAACCTGAGCCAGGTAGTCGGGTATTCCAGAATTGCGCCCACTACTCCAGGGAGACATCCGATTCGTGCATTAAGTGTACCAAGTGGCGGCCCTCTTTGCATGTATAATTAGTAGGTTAGGTTAGGTTAGGATAGGTTAGGTCGACACTTAAACAAGGATATTCCTTCTGCCAGCAATTCACCCCTCTGGCTTGGGCTTGGTGCAATAAGGAACATTTTTTGGGATAATTTAAGGGCTTGGCACAGTTAAGGAACTCTTTTGCGCAATTAATACACAACCAACCCTCTAGCCTAGACTAAAATGTGTTGTGTTCTCAGCTAGAGCCTAGCATGCTAGGATGCAAACACTAAGTCCAGCAATGCTTATTTTTAAAGTCAAATTTCCCCCTTTCCCGAATTCCAAAAATTCCGTGGGAGCCGAAATGACCACGACCTTGCCTAGTGCATCCTCCATTAACATAAACGTGCAAGAAAGCGAGTGCACGAGGCCCGTGTCATTCAATAAATTACAATGTAGAAACTATACAATTATCACGGGGTAATTTGAATTTAGCGTCCGTCCGGCGACGACCCCCTGACCCTGACCACGGAGGTGTGTAGAAAGCCCCGGGTGATAAAGTACGATTTTGGCGATATGTGAAGCCTCTGCCCCTGCCACGCCTACTGTACTTGCTTACTTTTCCTAGAAAATCTTCTGACTCTTAAATTAAAGGTTAATTGATGTAAACAAATCAGAAGTGAAGAAAATTCCGGCTGATAACCTAGGATGTTTGTGATGTTGTGACGATTTTGCCCACACCCTTGTATATACTTTTTAGCCGGAATAATTCAATTTCCCTCATGGCATTGGTATCATCCGGGCAGTTACCTTCTAAGGACTCAGGTATTTTTCTAGCAAACAAGAAAAATATAACTGAGTAGACCAATAAGGGCGAGTATTAATTGCGCCAACTGACATGAGTCAGGTAGGCGGGTATTCCTGAAATGCGCCAACTACTCCAGGGAGCCACCCGATACGTTCATTATTGGCTGGCGGCCGTCTTTGACTGTATAATTGAGTAGGTTAGGCTAGGTTAGGTTAGATTAGGATAGATTAGGATTACACGTAAACAAGGACATCCCTTATGCCGGCAACTCACCCCTACCTGGCTTGGGATTGGCCCAACTAAGGAACATATTTTGAGACCCGTTGAGGACTTGGCGCAATTCTGGAACTTTTTGGCGCAATTAATGCACGACGGACAATAACATCCTGATTTCATCGATATGCAAAGCTTATGTCCCTATATAATTTGTTTACACCCTTGATTTTTTTGGCCCCTATGTAGTTTAATTGCTCCTTTAGTAAGTTCTCACACAACTCACTCAAAGGGTAATTTTGTGTAACAAAAAAAAGTTGTGTAGAATATCTCTGTTCTTAAACTACTATTTTTGGGATTTGTGAATCATCTTCTACATCCCAACCATTCCATGTACTCACTTATCCCGAAGACTTAAGATTCCTAACTATAGCTAGTTTAATTATTCCCGAGCTAAGTCTATCACAAGGGTGATTGCACTCAAAGGGTAATTTGGTGTAACCAAAATTACCGTCGAAGGTGAAGTTCACCTTAAATTACGAGGGAGTTGTAATCGCGTCCACTTAGCTAGGCGATCGTGTGGGAAAACGCGGACAACTTAAGCCGGGAATTTGAAAGCGGTTAAATTACACTTCCAAGCAGTTTTCTGAACCTTTAGGTTTCAGCGTGAAAAATATAAATGGCCTGAAGTAATGCGTGTTAGTCGAGAAATGTTGTGAACCTCTCAATCGGTTGCGGGTTAAGATTTTTTAAGATCACATTGAAGATTTAAGGAGTCAACTTACTACTACAAGTCAATGATACAACTAACAGCTGTTTTAGTCTGTCTCACAGCAATGCAACAATGTTAACAGCTGATAAAATAGCAAACAACAGTAAAGTCGACAATTTCATCTTCCAGATCATAACTAGACAGAGAATGTTGAAGAACTTAGTAGGTTAATACTGGTAATATAATTATATTGAGTTACCATAGGCTACTAAGTATCAAGGAAACCCGTTACTTTAATGTTTGGTATTAACCTTTATAACGATTCCGGGTGCAATAAGATAGTTAGGTTCATTTGTATTCCCTATTAACATAAGTGATTTGAATTGTGGTGTATTTGCGGTCGACATTGTGCAGTTTCTCAATTACTGTTGGAAAATGAAACTATCTAAGTTAAATTGTATTTTATTTGTTAGCTCGTTCAGCAAATAGTATATGAGTTGATGCTTTTATAATTTTTTAAATAACTAATTAATTTAGAGTATGTAATAAAACAATGAAAGTACAGTACAAGGGTAGCTCAATTAATCGCCATACTGCATTGTATTACTGTTAGCCCAAGCAATATATTTTGAATAGCTTTAGTTGCCATCTATGTTCCAAGTACTAAAAGATTAACGAAAATTGATTATTGATATTATTTATTTTTAAACCAATGACTGGGACATGAAAAGTGTTTAATAATTTTCAAGTACTGGACATATTTTTGATGATACATCCAAGGAATTGTCAATTAGAAAATCGAACTCAACTTAAGCATAATGAGTGGCATCTAACACTATCACAACCCTCAAAATGTTTAACTTTACCATGGAAGCGAGCTGGTTTAGTGCAACGAGCACATAATGTTTAGAGTTAGTGTGTGAAGCTTCGGTCCTCGAGGCCCCGGGTTCAAATCACGCACAACATAAAAGATTTATTTATCTGATAACACCGTAACCATATAGGTCTAGCTTGAAGTTTTGTGACGTTTTATAACCACCGAATGTGTAAAACTGGTCTGGGCTAGTATGCACCCTAGGATGAAACATATTCAAGCCAATAACAATCCACATACATTATCATCGATTTTACAACTAAATTTCTGTCCAAACTGTCTCATAAGTTCCCCAAAAATTAAAAACCGGTCTTGAACGTGTTGAACAACCTAAATTTGACAAAACATTGACCTAAACACACAAATTAATTATTAATTTCGTCAAAACAAGTCTAGTGACAAATTCAGGTTTGAACGAGGAATATTTTTAATGTTCACAACACCAGCCGTGTTTTACAACAGTGAAGTTGGCGCTATAACTCAGATCTTCCCACTTTCTTCACAGTGTCCGGCTTTGCCGATATCGTGGGATATCCGGACTCGAACATATCCTTGACCACGACTGTGAGATGCACTGTGACTCACTGACTCATCGCCGGTGGTGAGATGTCGCTGTGTAGATAAACGATGAGAGTGAATTTATAGGTTATAATCAAATATATGAAGGAAACCTCTGGCAATTGTTTTGAATCGAATGAAAATGTAAACAAGATTTGCAGTTTAGGTCCTACTTTAAAGTTAAATGAAGCTTAAAAAAAATTTGCGTCACAAAAAAGTTTCAAGATTTTGTCTGGAAATAGAATCAAAATAGAGGACGCATAAAAGTGTTAACTAAAGTCGGTACGTGTACAGCTGATTTATTTTACACTAATACTTAGTAATAGTCTAAAACATTTTTCAATAAAAAATATGAGTTAAAAACAAATTTGACACAAAGTGTTTGAAATAGTGAGAAAGAATTTTACAACTTACCTACCTTCGTTTACCAACAAGTAATGGACAACATTTATGCCCAGTTTTTCCGCCTTTTCTGCAAGCATTTTTTCTTTTCCCTTGCCAAAAAATTCTCCAGTACTTCCTTCCGGATCTATATTTTCTCTACCCCTTTTTTAAAGTTTTACTGCACTTTTCGTGCTAAGCCTAAAAAATAAAATATTTAAGCTCGTCGATTGGTTACATGTATAACAGGCTAGGGCATTCAATAACTTTACAAACAAAAATGATGCGTTTCAAGACACTAACCTCGAAAATATATGCAAACTTCCGAAAATAATCTCACAATAAATTAAAGCTATGCTGAATAAAAAAAAAATATTTACCAACTTTTTTAGTGTCAGGTTGTCAACTTATTACACGTATATTTAGGGGGTCAATAACTTTGCAAACAATGAAACGGTTTCCGAATCAACCTGACAATCTTCCGGAAAGAATCTAAAAATGCAAAACGAAGCTAAATTTGCATCTGATCGTGCCCGCCGGATTGTTTATACAGTAGCTAATTATCGAAGCCGCAATCCACACGACAGGTATGCATTCAGTAATTAGGTACATTAGCCAATACCTGATGGGGAGGCATCGACTACGTGCAGGGCTTTAACCGGACTACGTGCGCGGAAATAATTACATATGGCTTAATCAACTAATGAGCCGATTTTCGATATTTATGCAAGCAATTATTGCTTGATTACTTTCCTGTTTCGGAGTTGAGTCACGCGTTAAACGTGTCAGGGAGAGTGGATAAGAATTATTTGTTTGGGAACAAAGATTCTGTAGTATAATGGTGTATTGAAATTATTTTACATACACAATAGTAAGGTTAAGCAATTAAAATTGTCACAGTGATATTCAAATTGTTTTCAAATACGAAAACACTAGTGTTGTTTTAAATATTTTTTAAGAAAACATACGGTGTCTATGATCGTTAAATTTGATAATTATTATTTGAAATCCCAAAATTTCACTCACTAACACAAGTACTCATGTTTACTCTAGCCGAACAATAATATCTATATCTACGAGATAAAAGATATTTACAAAACATATACATGGAAAGATCGAAAATATAGTATGGAAATATTATTCCGTACATGACTTAAGTCTGTATTGGAGGAGGAATCATTCAGCACTCTTAACAGGGGTTTTTCATAATATTTGTAGTCACTGTATAGCTAAGAAATTAAAAAAAAAACTTTTAAATGTACGTAATACTAGTAAACATAATAATGTGAACACAAAAAATGTTAACATTCATTTTTAATAGGATTTATCAGAATTTGAAGATGGTTTAGCAATGTTTGGTTTCTACCAACATATATTTTAAATCAATGGTGCCAATATCATTGTTAATAAAGTACGTTTGCCAAATTATGTTGAAAATGAAGAACTTTATCTGTGTTACTTACAACTATCTTATGTTGTTTATCTTTGGGTAAGCAATGGTATAGAAAATTGAATAACAAAATCTAGAATAAAGCTTGAGTACAATACTTTTGTCAAATACTTACTTGTGTTCGCAGGGGCGGGCCTCCTCCGCCGATGCCAGGGTACTCCGTGAGGTCCGAGACCCCCTACGGTCCCTGGTCAGGTCCCCCGGCCCCCTACCAGGCCGACCCTAGCGGCCACCTGACCGTAGCTCTGCCAGTGGCCGTGCCCTACCAACCACAGGTCAGTATAGGTTCATCGCTGAAGACAGGAGAAAGTTTCATCCTGGAGACTTATCGTAAAGGGATTTTAAAATGGAGAAAGTCAAATTTGGCTTTAATGCATTTGGAAAGTATATGCGACTTTTTTCTACAGTTGGCACTTTTCAATTGGTAAATGATATATGTTCATCTTATGTAATATTCCTTTTATAATTTTAATTGTTGACAGTTTTATCATGTTTTCGTTAGAATGCTAAATAGAAGTACTGTATAGTGCAAAGAACATATTTCATATTAATATTCATTTGAGATGGGGAGGCTAAAATGTGCGTATTTTAACCCAAATATGAGTGAAGGATGAGTGTAGAATGGAGTGTGCTTTGCGTAGCTTTGTTACTGACTAAGATCAGCTGTTTCATTAGTCAGGGCCATTTATTGAAAGCCCAAATTAACAAATCAAATCAAATCAAATCAAATCATTTATTTAGCCAAAATTTTAACAAAACAAGTTGCATTAGCTAAGTCACATTATTTTTAAAAGATGCCTTACATAGATCTACAATTATACAGGTATTTACAAAATGGCTTACATTATACTACAAATTGCATCAAAGACTTATAAATGAACATTTACAATGGCATTCCTAGAGCTGATATGATTTATGAATTCCTGGACGCTGTAAGAGGTAAAATTTATCAAAAGAGATTTTAATCGTTTTTTAAATTTTGGAAGGTTTGGTTCTAGCTTAAGAGAAAGTGGAAGAGAATTGAAAAGTTTTATTCCATTGTACTGTAAGTGTCTTTTGAAAAATGTCGTAGAATGTTTAGGGATTGGTAATGTGTGTGAGTTTCGCAAAGTGTAGTGGTTTTTGACAGAAACGTTAAATTGAGCAAGTTCTTGTTTTACAAATGTTAAGGATTCAAGAATATAAATGGATGGAAATGTCAAAATTTTTGAATGAGCAAAATATTTACGGCATGATTTACGCTTCTGCAAAGAGAAAATAGTCCTCATAGCCATTTTTTGAAGTTTAAACAAAATGTTGGTCTGCTGGCACTCACATCCCCAAATAGGTACGGCGTATGCTAAGTGGGGATAAATGAGCCCATAGTATGCAGTCAGCAGTACCTCCAGATTTTCATTGTTCTTGAGGTTACGCAAAACGAAAATACCAGAGCTAAGTTTCTTTGCAATGTGTTTCATATGGCCATGAAAACTAAGTTTCTCGTCCAAGATCAATCCAAGAAACTTGACATTTGGTGTTGGATGAACTTCGGTTTCGTCGAGAAGGAGACTGAATCCATTTGCGCGATTTGATAAGCGGAAGTTAATGAGTTGTGTTTTTTCTGTGTTAATTTTCAATGAGCTGTCGTCAAACCATTGGATTATACTGTTTGCTTCCAAAAAACTAATTTGTTCTAAATTGAGAAAATCAGAGCTAGAAATCGAAAGAGAGGTGTCGTCGGCGAACAATGATAGATTTGAGGATGTTGTGCAGGAAGAAAGGTTGTTAATAAAAATTAGGAAAAGGACTGGTCCCAGGACGGAGCCTTGAGGAACCCCCCTTGCAACAGAATTCTCAGCAGAAGGGTAGGATCTAACACACCCAGCCTCATCTACTGCCCTTATCTCTACATATTGACTCCTGTCACAAAGAAATGACCTGACCCAATCCAAAGCCAATCCTCTCACGCCCACATTGCTCATTCTTTTGAGCAATAAGTTATGGTCCACCATGTCAAAGGCTTTGCTTAAGTCAAAAAATAAACCAGCAGAATAGTTTGCAGCATCTAATTCACAAACCACCTTGTTTATTAATTTAAACATCGCTGAAGTGGTAGATTTGCCCTTTGTAAATCCATGCTGGTTTTCGGATATGATATTATTTGTCCTGAAAAAATCCCACAGCCTTATCACCATGATTTTTTCAAATATCTTTGAAAACACAGACACTACTGATATGGGCCTATAGCTATTGCAAAGCGTTGGATCTCCTTTTTTGAATATAGGCCTGACCACTGACACCTTCAGCGCTTGGGGAAACGATCCACTAGAGAATGAAGTGTTAATTAAATGACATAGGGGTTTTATCAGATATGGTGCAATCTTTTTAAGTAAATACGGAGATATTTCATCAGCCCCTGAAGACTTTTTATTTTTTAGACTTTTAATGACACTTAAAATTTCCTTTTCGCTAGGACAACAAGAACAAGGACAGCTGGGTCAAGATTCGAACCACCAAAAAGCCACACTTTTGTCATAATCGAACCGGCGACCTTTTGATTACTAGATGAACACTATAGCCACTGAGCTACCCAGCTGCTACACAGACTTGTAACTGAATTAGAACCCTCTATTAGACAGACAACTATTTTATTTATATATACATCACGATTGATCTATTGAGCTCTTGTAGAAATCAAAGGTGGTTTGATTGACAATCCACTAACAGAAACCCCAAATTTAGTGGTCCTAGATAGTTTCATACAAGCATTGAAATAAAAAAAATTTTTTGCAAGCCTGGTACTTAATCATTCCGGTGAACCCATGATTACCTTTTTCTTAGACTGAAAGAAACAAATTTTATACGTTTTAGTACACAATTCTATGTCTGTAATATGAAGAACCTCAAACTGCATTCCATCAAAGTTGATAAGACCTTTACGATAAGACCTTTGATAAGACATTTCCTAAAAACGGTTACTTCAATTTCAATAATTTGTTTTGCTATTCTGGCTACATCTAGGTAAATAAAAATTGTATATTATTAGCCATGTACAGAATACATAAACAACCAATTTCGTTTGTACCCAAAAACTATCAAAAAGTTACACCGCATAGTAGGCCTATACTTAACCTTGGTCTCCATGGTCCAATACTGCACCCAACTGTCCTTGAATAGTCTTTCCTAACCAGCTGATCTTAGTAACAATGAACCACCCACATATGGCGTGGAGATGGAACAATGCCGGTATGCAGAGTTTCCTTTTCACCCTACATTTTCTCACAACGAACCACCCCTGGTCGACTTGACAGTTCCCGCGATAATTGTAGGAAAGGGCAACCCCGTCTCAGCGATCTAGAGATAAGGACCTCCATAATCAATGCTCATGCGAGCTTCGTGTGAAAGCCATGCGGGAAGCTCCATTCGTGAGATGTCCTGCGCCTGCGCTGTACCACTTTCCGTTCTCTCCCGCCATCCCACCGGAAATAGATAAGTCCCTTCCAATCACCATCAACCGAAGGTAAAATAAAACTCGAATCCTTCGTCGAACCCTTTTTTCCTGCTATAAAAAGAAGACTGTGATTGCTCTAGAGGTTCCACCCGGACGGTTTCTTTGTTGACATCGTCATTTGATGGGACGGTGAGATGGAACTTGGTTTTTTGTGAATAGATAAAAGTCCTCATCAAATTATTTACTTACATTCAACGTTGTAATCTAATAAGTAAAAGATTGATGAGAAATATACATAATTTTGTAAAAAAAATGGCAATCAACTATCGTGAAAATTGTGTGTAAAATGTGGAAGAATAGTAGTTTTTCCGTGACGGCTTTGTAACTTTTGTTCTTGTAACAATTGACAATTTTACTATCAATTAATCAAACATACTTCTCACAAATACGAGGAATCTCTTTCTCGAAATGTTATTTTCATCGCGTGTTTTTCAGAATCACAACACTCACTTATATTAGAACATAAACGGTAGAGATCAGAAACACAAACAAATAAAGTCCAAACCAGCTGTTGCTGTTATAAGTATACGATTCGGACAAGATGTAAATTGTTTACGTTTATACTGTCACTGTTCTGATATTCGTGATGGGACCATCTTGGTTTTGATGGCTCAATACCACTATTACTAGAAAAATACCGGTATGGATCATAAACATAAACAAATGACGTTGTTGGCCCGAATCCTATACTAATAGCATTGAACATATGATTTGGCAGTTCCATTTAAGCAATGTTAAATAATGTTTATTTTCGGGCCAAAAACGTCATTTGTTTATGTTTATGGTCCATTCAATACTGTACCCAACTGTCGTTGAGAAATGGGCATTGCAAAATTACCAGCTGATCTTAGTAACAATACTGTCATATCCAACGCTCATTCTTCAATCGTCTTCGAATAACCTCATTATATTGGTGTCGTAAAACTAACGTATTTTTTCCAAGTTATTGGAACCAGATCACCTTATTCTTCATGGTGAAATCGATTGATTTAAGGAACTATCAAACATAAAAAAGCTATCTTGAAAACATACATGACCATCAAACCTTGTAGGAAGTAGCTAGACAGTTAAATAGGTCTTTCCTCTTTTAATAGGTCTAGAGTATCAATTTAATCACTAATGGGTTTAAATAATCCTGATCCTGAGTGATGAAACAGCTGACCTTATTCTTGGCCAGTAACAAGCTACACAGATCACCACACAACATTGTACACTCATCCTTCACTCATATTTGGGTTAAAATACGCACCAAGGTTGCGTCTCCATCTAAACTAATAATTGATAATAGTAATTTTTTTTATTTCCTCCTGAAGGTGATTCAGTTCTGTAAAATATGTCTGTTTATATTTCTACTTCTTGTCCCCAGATGGCACCGCCTCCACAGACACTCCAAGGTCGTCTTCACGACGTGCAGCTCGTCCCCTGCCTCTGCCCCGTCAGCACCCTCATGGGCAAGGACTTCGACCCCTCGCAGCCCCAGACCCAAGGAGCGCCCCAGGCCTCCAACTACGCTCAGATGCAGCACCAGGCGTCATCCACCGCCAACAACCCCTAGGAACATCAGAGATCCTTGTACAACCTTCCGGACGATTGACCTTGGAGCAGTCGGATAGCAATTCATCTTTTGCAACAACTTTGTTCCTAAAACTGGGTTTTCCTAGGCGCGGAAGCAGAGAGCGGAGAGAGGAACGCGGAGAGCAGAAAAGATATTAACATGGTTTTTCGCTCCGCTTCTAGGAAAACAGTAACATTAAATTACCAAGTGGACAAGTGGAGTCCGCTCTCCGTGTTCCTCTCTCCGCTCTCCACTTCCGCGCTTAGAAAAACCCGGCTTAAGGAAGTTATGTTTTTACACTTTTATTGTTTGAAAAAAAAAAATAATGTTCACTGTTTCAAAGTAATAACAGACAAAAAACTGTAATTTTCTCAAAAAGCCTGCTCAAAATTTTGAATTTGGCATTTTCAGAAAAAGAATATTTGTTGAAGAAACTCTACACAATCGAAAAACGTTTGAACGATAAGACTGATTAAAAGACTGATGATTGTATTTATTTATTTATTAGGATGCACTTGTGTTTAATTATAAGCTTAAATATAGTTGTTTAGGATTTTAAAATTGTTTAGTTATTTGCATTTCCTGATTTGAGACCGTGAACAGGATGATATTTTATTGAGTCATTATGGTCCAATTTTGAGTCCTGATTGAGCAATATCGAGTAATGGGAACGTATGGGATTGTTATTGGGGTTTTAAATTTAAGGAAATTGGTGTTTTCAAGTTTCTACCCTTAATGCCTAGTGTTGACAGCCATCATGTAGAGCTTTTGCATATAAGAATTTTTTATATTGAGACATTTTTATACAATTGAAAAACACAAAAACTAAAAAAAAACTGTACTTTTAGAGATTGTAAGTTATTCTTATCAAGGAAAGGAAAACTGTTTAAGTGGGCTATCTATAACTTAAACAGTTATAGATATGTTTTGATCAAATTTAACAAATTCACTAATCTAAATACTATGGGTATCAGCAAACCTAAGTACTCCTTAAATTTAATATTACTTGAATAAATTTTTAATATGATTTGTTTATGGAATTATTGTGAAGATCCAATCAGATGGATTAAAATTTGCTGAGTCTGCAGGATTGCTGCTTTGGGCGCATTTGACTATATTTACTTCAAAAAAGTTTGCAAACCTTTGGCAAACCCCAGTTTGCAGGAGTTGTTTGTGTACAACAACGCCTGGAGCTTGTTTCTTGTTTCTTGTTGGAGTGTGATTCAATCCATATAACACAACCATGACTAAGGGAGTTCACTTAACCATTAACATTTTACGACGGGAGCGAGCTGGTCTAGTAGAGCTCGGGACTTTAGTCCCCAAGGTCCCGGGTTCAAATTCAGTCAATGACCAATGGATCTAAGTGACAATGCCCCCCTGACCTACCCTAATGTAAAAAATATGAGCTAGAACCTAAAGGATCTAAAAACCCCTTTTACGACGCACTATGTACATTAAGTTATAATTGAAGTTATGTATTGAGGAAAATGTTTACAAAACCTCTACGATTCCATCGCATTCCAAAAGCGATGCGTGAGCGTGGACAGGCCACGGAACTGGTTACACACGGCACAATTCCTGCGGACATTTGACCATATCTCTTCTGCGCCTACTTTCCACGCTGTTTTGCATTGGCCTATGGCAAGATGCGCTGGGGACGCTTTCAGCAACGCCGCACCGCCGGGTTCCCATAGCAAGGCACGACTCACAAAAGAGGGGTAGAGACCATACTCATACTCATCTGTTAATTCTATAACATTTCACGATTTGCACATTTATGTTTTGTGTATGTAAACATGTTTTGTGTTATGTCCGTTGAAATGAATGAATTCTGTATAGGTAGTATATGGTTTGAAACTGCACTGTCCTTGATGTTTTATGTGTCCTTGTGGTTTATAATAATCAGTGCAGCTGTAACAGCTTATTTGAAAGGTTCATTTAAATAGTAATAAAGTCACGTTTACTTACGTGCCAGTGACATAATTTGTTTATGTTTATGATCTAATCGTGGATAAACTTCTTCTAAGGGCGAAGACATAATTAAAGGGTTGTATTTAATCAGATCTAAATATCGAATATGCATCAGCTGTTTCTTATTTTAGTTTGTTTACTTTTTGCTCGGTTGCGAATAAAATGTTTACATTATGATATAGTATTTTTCGTACCTAGGGCCGAAAATGAGGGTTTGCCGGCTCGAGTTCGAGACGATGTCGAGAACTTAAAACGATTGAGAGCTGCAAATCATTTCGGTCCGTGGTACGAACGCTATTTTTCACCACACTATACCCTATTACCACTATTCACCACAATAATAATGCACACTAACAGTCAACACAAATACAACTTTAAGGTTATATGAAGAAACAATTTGAGGAAACAGCAAAAATAATAATAAATATTTGTTAGGCAGCGGTGATAATAAAATATAAACTTGCAATATAAACAAGTCCCGCATGTCGCTACCTAGGCCCACTTGTGGGCGTGTGTTCCTTTCTCTGAATTATCTCCAAATTCCCAGCTAGGAGTGTTTATGGTTTCCGTCACGAGTTGCTCCTGAGGTCCCGGGGCCAGCCAAGTGACGAAGAGATCCCGAAGGTAGCAATTAGACGATCTCTGGAGAAACGGCAAACTACTCCGTGTGGGGCGCCTGGCGCGTTCACATGCCAATTACCGTGATATCGGCTCACAGTAGCTTCCCATTGTACTGTCTACATGTTGTTAGATGTGTCTGGGACGGGTCTACCACAGTGTCATTACTGTGAACAAGGATGCTTACCTTCTCACCACAGCAAACCTGCAAAGCGAATATTCATTTGCCTGATTTGATTTTCCCTTAAATCTATGTTTAATTAATGGTAACATTAGGTTTAACAAGTACCTAGGTTTGCTGCTACACGGAGTGTAGTAAAGTGTGTTTGTTGTGAAATATTAATAGCTTAGTATAAAATAAATCAATTTGCCAAGTTTGATCAAAATATACATAAACAAGAAAACTACATTAGTTTACTTATTCTCTAAAAGAAAACACATTTTGGAATTTTCTCCATAACCACTTAGCGTATGAAAACACTTAAATAAATTAAATATTATTTTTAAGCTGTACAAAAAGACTTGAAAAGAAATTGCTAAATTTTATATTTTGAGGGTTAAAATGGGAAGACCCAATTTTTACCCCATAAAACCTGCTATAAAACCCTGTTCTCATCGTCCGATCATACTGGTTTGCGAACTCATTCAAGTTTATCCCGCCATTCAGCTTCAAGCAAAATTTCATCAAAATCGGACAAAAATTAAGTTATTGCGTTCACAGACACACACACACACACACCATATGGTACATATATAAACATTTGAACGTTAGTGTTAAATCGGTCCCGGGTCCAGGTCTTTACGTGCCACCTACTTTAATAACTACTTCCCTATAGGGAAATTCGCTAAAAGTACAACCGCACTAATCCGGTATACTGTGGTCATGCACACTCAAAGGCTTGACGTTACTCTTAAGGGATTTTCACAGTAAAATGATCAGATAAGTGTTGATAACTTCTCCATTTTAGTAGTAGCATTGTAGTAGGCATACTCCAGTAAGCGTTGCAATAACCTGTTTAGACTGTGAACAGTAATCCGGTATTCTCTATGCTCTCTGTAGTCCCGAACGTTACGGACTTTGTGTCTTCTGTAGTAGTTCTATAGTAGTCGCCTATTAACAATGAAAAAAATTATAAACAAGCAGTTAATTATGAAAATAAATTATACATTTTAATAGTCTTTTTAAATTAATAAAATGTTTTGATTTGGATAAACAATTTAATTGTCTAGCTATGTTGTTGAGTAGTAATAGTGCTCACCTTCAAATCTGAAGGTCGCTGGTTCGATTCCTGCGATATCGTAACTGGACCCAGAAGCCATTTTGTTTTTGTGCCTCAACTATTATTATTTATTAAAAAGTCCGAAAAGTCGACGTTAGATGGCAAAAGACCAGGGTTTGGAACGTTCCCTTAAAAAAACGCAAAAAATGCCAAATACGTAATAACACAAAAAAATGTTTAAAATTTGTATAAATATTCATGCATAGTATTTAAAAAACTGATCCGTCAATCTCCTCTAAACTGATTTTTGATTTATGATAAAAAATATTTATGATAGCATTCAATAAATAACACACTTATTGATAAATAAAATGCAATGTTGTTTATTGCTATGATGGTAGTCTCTATTTAAGGATGTATACAAATAGTTCCTAATCGCTTCTTACCCTATCTTTCCCTCTTATTTTACCGCTTCCTATATACCAAAACCTTTTCCTGAAAACGAAAGTGTTCGACTTCCTAGTGGACCTAGGGACTGGACATCGGACGTCCTCGTCACGGCGACCGCGGCCAGCGAAAGGAAAAGTGAGCGACTTTCTCTGGAGCCGATAGAGAAACTGTAACACCATCAGATATGACGAAACGCGGCTATACTGGCCGTCCAGGGGGCGGGGGGCGGGTTATGTAAAGGTAATGTTTTGACTGCGGAGGAACTGACCAGTCAGGCTGGGCAAAGCTGGTTGTACTGCACTAAGAAAGTGCATTTAGGAATTAGCTGAAAGTACTTCATAACTGGTCGCTTTATAGTTCACCAAATAGGGAGTAAAGTTTGATGGTTTGTAGTCATATTTTGACCGGAAGGTAAGGAAACTCCTCGTGTTTTCAAGTGACTAACTTAACCTGAATTTTACCTTACTAAACTATCCAAAATAATCTACCTAAAACATTAGTTAGGGTTAGGTTGGATAGGGTAGTTAGGTAGTAGATTGATAGTTAGTCACTTGAAAACGGAAAACGGAACTTGGAAACGTAATGTAATCAAATCACTTAGCGTAGGAGTCCATAAACAAAAATTTTAAAAAGGAGTAGATTTTATGAGTTTTCAACAGTGGATGTTAAACAAGTCATTATTCTAACCTTTTTTGAAACTAATCTAAACAATATAAACTTAACTATTGTAAATATACT